ATGTTATAAGGTTCATATTTACGAAATTAATAAGATTACAAAATATTTACTGTATTTATTTGCGATGGCGAATCGTGTGCTTCATTGGGTAATTGATCAAACTCAACTGTAACTTTAAACATGTTAAATTATCATTAGTGATGAAACCCAATTATACATTTCTATATGTACATTCCTACATATGTCAGACGTAGAAAAAAAATATCTCGAACTAGATTACACAAATGTAGAGACAGACCAAGGCAACAAATACACGAAGGAGCTGACATACATCTGACGATATGAAAACATATAGTCATTTCACCGTAAGCCGTTGAGTATGACGTTACCTCGTCGCGTGCACCGGAGCGATGTCAGAAGTTGTCTTTTTGCCTGGACGATGTTCGCGAGTCAACGGCGGGTTCCATGTGACTGAGGCAAAGGTATAATTTGTACTGAAGATGGCCTCTGGCAGTTATTAAAACAGCAATACGCGTTGGTTACGATATGACTTAAGGGTAGATTTGATTTGATAACAGCTATTGCGAGTGTGTTAAGGTGACTGTAATATCACGTATAGAGTGCTTCGAGAGGCATTGTTAAGTTCTATAATACAAAGAAACCTGTTAATTGGATTACAATTAGTCGAAATATTGGGCCCTTTTTGGGCACAAACTATACTACTAATACAATCGCGTTTACAAACCTCAAAGAAAGACATAAAATCCTATACACTTTTCTAGCCAAAATTGAGGAGTCTCTTGCAATAAATGTGCTATAAATAAACAGTAAAGTTTGCTATAAGTAAAATGATGAATGCAGCGAATTAGTTAAATCTTGATGTATATAATGTTTATAAATGTTTAAATAAATAAAATTTAAATTTAGATAATAAATAAAAATATTTAATATACAACAATTATACATTTATACTACATGCATACTTATCAGAGAACTACCTAAAATCAGGACTTTGTATGGAAAAAGAAATATACAGTTTGAAGGAGCTCAGCTATATAATAAGTTACCACCCGATGTCAAAAATTGTTCCTCTTTAACGAGTTTCAAAAAAAAAAATAAAAATGTTTTTAATGGAAAGTTAAGCAATAACTCCGATTATCCACACTTTTTAATTGTTATTTAACATGTACTATGTAAAATTTTCTCAAAGTTAAGTGAATATTGTAATATTCTTTTTTGAGAAATAAATATTTCTTTGAACCTAAATAGTAATCTGTAGTTAATACAATCGATTGGTAGACATGCTTTATAGACAATATTTTTAAGCAGCTAAATTAATAAATAAATGACCAACTAATAAAGTAACGATATTCTTCATTGAATGCATTTAAAAGATGGCAAGCTGAAAAAGGTCAAAGAAATAGTTTTTTAAGAAGTGTTAATTATGAAATTTGTGTACCAAAAATAATTTAATATTGTTTTTAATTAGTTAAAGGCATGAGAAATGAGTAATAATAGGATTCAGTATTATCATGTTTTCGAATGTAAACTTCTGAGAAGAACACTTGTTGGTGAAAGCAATAAAACATGCCCATTGAAGCGACAAAACAATCGTGGCTGTGTGCTTAGACTATTGAGTGGTAAAGCGTCAAGCAGCAGAAATGAATAATATTTTACAAATATTAAAGTAAAAGTATCGATCCTATCGTAATCGGGAAGATTGCAAAAAAGGAAACATAATGGCTCAATGTAAATAAAGTTTAAAAAATCGGCGTTAGTTAGTGCAATCTGTTTTTAATATAATATATAATTATAAGTTAACTATCACATCTAAATACGTAAAACCCAGATTTGCCAACGAAACAACTGATATTAGATCTGCGATCTATATTCGCCGGTCGGATTACGCAGCGTACTGCGAGATCAGTTTCACCACAGCCCAGTTCATACTTACATAATACAGGTATATTGTATTATATGATACACATGTAACTTTCTTCATTAAGTTCATCAATTGGATACATAATTTTCATACAATAAGAAAGGGAAGACTAACTCTATTGCCCTTGTTCGGAATACCTCCCAGCGCTGTTACCGCGGTATACCATCATGAGTTCGCGTAAATGGAACGAGTTTTAAGAGTAGCTAAAATTACTGACCACTACGGGCGGACGGAGCGCGTATTAAACAAAAGGGCTACCTCTTAACCAGTTCGCTTAAGTTAGTGCCCGCGCCCCGTCACTGCTCGCCCGCTCCGCTTTTTTCCACCGATAATTGATTTTTAATGGGACCCCATGTTAGACGCGTTTGATGCAAGAGCTACCCGATCGAGTTTATAATCGACTTAAAGATATTGGCTAATGCTTACTCATATAAATGACGACCATTATATACACTGATATTATTAATGTACGGAAGTGAAAGTGTTAAAAAGGAGTCGTAGAAATCTCTACATCATAATTTTGGTATACCGGGGATAACTGGGGCAGCCATTTTTATTTTTAATTTATGATTGTCAACAAAATTACATGTACACTAAATTAAGTAACTCAAATTTTATGGGGCAACGAGTTATACATAATCACTATTATATGTAGTCATAGCATGCACAATAGTATTTTTCGTAACGAATTAGGCTTTGTATTTTTTTTAACTATAAGGCGTATTAAAATAATAATGTAATATTAATAGGACGTCGCGATGTAAAGACAAATTATTTAAGGGACTGTGAAATTTAAGTTATTGGAGATCGAAAGACTTTAAAATTATTTAAACTCATGGCCCCATCACGGTTACAGTGTGGATAATATATTATATTATGTTATTACTTTATTTCATTGGACTTTTTAGTAACACGTATGAAGAAGATTTTATTTTTCCAAAACGAAATGAAACGGCGTTGAATGTGCACATAATTATAAAAAAAATACGTATCCTTATCCACTTCTTACTACAGCTATCGCGACAATGTGACAGTTGACGAACCCATCGCCGCAAAGCAACTTATTTTCCATACATAAAGTGGTTTAATTTCAGTCGACAATCTGTATGTAACGTTTATCCTATTCGTTTTTACCAAAGCAAACACTTAAGTCGCTGTCAATAAACGAGCTTAATTAATGCGTTAACGTTCATGTAAAGGTTACATTGAGACAAGAGATGCCCGGCAGCCGTATCGTTTACTAATGCTCCGCGTTGAATATTCAAACAACATCGAATTCTCCATTTCACATCCCATTAATAGCAGAAAAAATGCTTCCATGCTTCTTCCGACTTTATAAACAATATTTATTACGTGTTTCTTTTAATAGGATAATGAGATAGAGGCCGATACACAGCAGTTAGATGAGGATGTTAATGTTAAGTGTGTATTTTAAAAATTAAAAACAGTCGTCGAATTCTTTAGTTCTGTTAAATCTCTTGAATTAGGAACACATTTCATCCTTAATTCGCACCTCTGTAGGCATTGATTTTAGATTTAACACTTAAAAATGTTAGCGCCACTAAGTATAATTTTTAAACAGCGATAAGCAATTTCGTCTCTCTTTATTTATGGTGACTAACCCTTCTAACTACTGACTCTCATATTGGTAGTCCAACACGAACTTAACGTCACCTAAGTATGAGATAAACAGATAAGATTACAATGTATATGTGTACTTATCGAAAAATATCGCATTAACAAAGGTGACTTAAACAAAATTTCCCGGCGACGGACAAGGCAAGACATATCGTATACATTAGCATAATAAACGGACCCTGAGTGAGTAAGTAACAGACAAACATACGTGCGTCTTTGTCTGTCCTTAGCTAGCCTTTGCTTAGCTTTTTTGCAAGCACAGGACGGAGAGTTTTATTCAACGCGGATGGGCGTCGCTGGTGGCGCAGACCAATTATAGGTCAATAATGCCCATCAAAAACATATTAACGGTAAGGGTAATGATATTCACCAGTTAGAATTATCTGTGCGATTCAGCATAGAACAAAAAATATGTCCTTTAAGGAAATAGTTCCTAATAAAGCTTCCTTGAAAAGCTGTAGGTAGTTTGTCGTTTAAGAATATATAGCTTGTCGTTAAATATACGGACCCATAGTTAATTAGTACAACCTCGAAGTGTATCAAGCCTCATGGGTTCGACATCAAAAAATGTCAATATTTACCAGACAATTTATTAAAATTAATCAATTTATTAATAAATACGAATCAACTTCCTGAAATTGTCCAGCAATTATATTGAGTTGACGATTAAAATATGACTAATAAAGTGATGAAAGACAGTCACAGATCATGGTCATAGATATATTTCTACAGATTTATAGGGCCTATATAATTTGCGGTTCTAGCCTATGTCTACCAAGTCTACAAATCCTAGCTGAATGTTGAACAAGCAGCTTCGTATGCAACATCTATACCAGAGGCTTTAGTTTAACCTAGTAGATTTATTGCTCCACTGAAAACAATACTATTATTAGAAATCATGTTACCAATACCGCTATATTCTCTATCTTTAACAGACTTTAGTTATGGCAGACTAAGTTGCTAATGTTGTTCGTATTGACTTAATATATCTTGAAATCTCAAAAGGTGATTAAAAAACTTAACTTGTCTTATTTACTATGACAATCCTTTTATGTAGAAAGTTTGTATCAGATAGAACCAACGGAGTGGCAGTAAGTGGTGGCATAATTATGAATAATGTCCAAGGACTGATTGGAATACAAGCAAGGGTGTTTATTTTAGTCTCGCGATTTATTACTCTTGTATCATAATAAAAGTACTGAAACCAAACGCAGTCGTAACGTCTTCATCGATTCAGTGTTATTAATATGAACAAAAGATTTCCGGTGTTGCTTCTTGTACAAATATAAGCAGGAGTCATTATCTGCGAAACAAAAATAATCTTTTTAAATTTTTACTATACTTTAATTGCAAATCCTTTGCGGAGAATAATAAATAAAGAAATGCTGAACGCTGTAGTAGGAATAAAGTAATATCACTCAAGCATAACCATATTATTTCTGCATTCACTGGTGTTCATAACAGAGAATAGAAAGTGAAAATGTCAACAACGGCGACAAGACAAGTGAAATCTTCCAATTCAGCGAACATATTAATGTGCAAACAGTGGTGGAAAGTGTGTTGGATGTACGGTGACCAAGAAAAATATTACAGACAACTTTATGGCAAGCGGAAACTGAACACGATGAACTCGGATTTTCTGAATTTCGACAAACTGGACACGAAGCGCTCTGGCGCGCAAATAACTGAGCTTACTGATGACTTCTTTGAAGATAATTATAGTTCACAAATTGACCCGGCGCCAGATGAAAGTCAACCTAACAACGAGCCCAAAGCGTGGTTCGGCGTTGAGTCAGAACCCATTTACGGTTTCGAACCCACCTGGCATAAAGACCAAAGACGACAACCAATTCAGCAGAACTACGACGATCTCAATTACATCCTTGATGAAAATCTTAACAAAGACACTATAAAAAGTATGCTTCAGAACGGACTACCTCTAGAGCCTAAAGCCCAATTGTTAGATTCTAAAGAAGAAATACACAGGAACGGCGATGTATTTGGAAAAACGACGAAGACTGTGTGTAAAACGCGGAAAGGTGCGATAGTTACGGAAGAGACGGAGATTTGTACGGACGGCAAAACGACGGCAAACTTAAAATTTCAACGGTCCACTGTGAAAACGGGACCTAACAAAGTGAAGGAAGTATTACAGCCCTTGAAAGAAGACAAAGTGTTGGACGAGTGTTCGAGGAAGAAGTGTGTGGGTGACAAACTTACCACTACAACTAGGACTTTGGTGACCGTGTCGCAGACTTCAACGACTTCTTGTAACGAGTGAGTATTTAAATATAGTTTCACTATTTATTACATTTATTTCCTTGCATTTAGATAAAGTCTACATTTCAACATTCGTTTCATATAATATAACATAGAATAACTGTTACCTGATTTTTAGACGAAGGCTTCGCGATTCATGACCTTGTAACTTCATACTACTTCATGAGACAATTAAATATAATTGATTTTGCTTGTATTGTTATTTTAACAAGATTATGTCAAGATAATTAACTGTCTGAATTCTCAAGTCAAGCATACCAACTATCAACCTAAAAACTGATATAATTGCATATTTATTACATAGTCATATATTTATAGGCCACATTCTTAAGCGTTTCCCGTTCCGTCGTAAATTAAATATCGTCCTGCTATTTCCGCCGCCGCCCGACGTTCGTCGTTTCCGCAATTTCGATGAAATTGCGCGGCAGCTGGCGGGCCATTGTCTGCTCGCGTTCGCGCTACGAACCACTCTCTACGCGCTGTTCTCTCAATAATGACGTTACTTGGAATTCCACAATACTGCGGTTTCGTGGGGCTGGCACAAGGAACACGCTCAAGCGGTTATACTTTAATAAGACGATGAAATTTGTGACAGTTTTATTTTTTAAATAATTAATTTAAACTACCAACCTTAAATAATGTTATGACGTCACAGTGGAGTAAGGAAAATGATTTTGTAATTTCTATAGGGTGGCAATGAATTTTAAGCCTCATACGACTTAGCTTTAAAATAAACTTGATTTTATATATATCAAATACTAAATAGACACTAATTATACCATCAATAAGACAGATATCACAATAAATCACGTTCATTTTCACATGTTTCTCAAAAAACTAAGTGCATACAAATAATCTAGTTTCTCATTCGATCGCCTTTAACTTAAAATTGATGGAAAAAAAGGAAAATCGTAAATCGTTCTCACCGGTTTCTTGTTGCCTTCTCGTCGCTATATCAGCCACGATTTATATCAATTAGTAACAACGCCTTGCACCACGCTATTTAACCAGAATAATTAGTTAAATGTCCATAAAATTGATTATATTAATCATTTGACATGCTACCTCACGTGTGTTTTTATTTTAATATCTAACTTTATTACTAAAAGAAAATGTTACGGTGACTTTGTAGAGATCGTGACGAGTCCAGAGATGACGGCAAAACTAAATCGCGTGCACATTTAACAATTGTAAATTGTAAACTCATTAAGTTTACAATTTACAATTGTTAAATATCTGTATGTAATCGGTGTACGGAACCGGAACTATCTATCCCACAGGAATTTCTATTAAAGTCTTTCGAAGTAAGAGTCGATGACAATATTAGATTTTACTTTCTATATATAATCTTTGAAACCCTTAATGTGAAACAGCAAGGGCGAAATATGGCTTCATGATTTTGTTCTACAAATAAACTAACATGTCGAACGTGAGAACATCCGTCTGTGCTTCCGTTTAAAAGGATACGAGTATTCAGTTTTTTTTTTATAATAAATGATTATTTGCGTTTATATAATCATAATAAATAAATAATTAAATGTTTTTGCTTACTTCCTGTCAAATTTATAATCTCACTCATAATATTTCTCCATAAGTGGTACGGGGTCATCTTGGTATGTGTTTAATTCGAAACTATTTAACTATTTACTAAAGCGAACATGAACAATCACCTTGAAAATAAACCTTATTGATTTGTTACACTGACACTGCTTCTAGATTCTGATTTTGGTCAATTCTTATCTTTATTCCATTACATTAAATATCGCAACTATGTCCGGATTTTTCAACACATTCATATAAAACATATCATTTAAAATGTTTTAACGCCGTTAATCATGACTAACATATTATTCCTATTTTTGCATAACCATTTAAAAAACTAAAAATAATGATATTATTATGACAAAACATTCAATTAAGAATTAATCATAAAGACTCCAATTATGTTACTGGAATACCGTTAAATCGATTTTAAACAAAAAAAAGAGAAAGAACTAAAACGTCAAGTTCATCGAATGGCACCGCGACCGATCGCATTGCGTCATCGAATCGTGAGAAATAATTGGCCACCTTGCGTATTTCAACCCGGGCGATATTTTGTAAATACGAAGAAGTTGCCAACTACCCATTGTGCCTCAGGCTGTATACAATGGAAGGGAACTACTAATTGTGGCAGTTGTACCACAGTTATCTGTGGTAGGGCCATGCAGCAGCTTGTGCTGTTGCAAGAATGGGTAGGTCCGTCCGGGGAAGGACCAAAACGAGAAGACAGAGTCCACAGACCACAGCCACAAGAGAGTATTGTACTTTCACGTTTCGTCTGGTTAGTCAGGTAGACGGTGCCCATTTAAGTAAAATGTGCCAACGCATCTGCAACCCTACGGGTGTTGCAAATGTCCATGGGCGGTGGTTGTCACTTAACATCAGGTGAACCGCCAGTTCACTTGGCATTATCATTAGATTAAAGAAAAAGTGAATGTGCAGACGCACATGGTTATATATATTTTTCGTGCTGAGGTCCCAAGTTCAAATCTTAATGATTAATGTCACTATCGATGTTGTCATTGCATGAGGTCGATCAGTCCGCGGGAGTTGCTAATCTTTTTCGTGTAAAATCACAGAATTGTAGTATAATTAAACGTGTAATCAATGATTACATATCTATTCAAATGTAAAATTCAATTAACATCATCATTAATGACTTAATGTCTCAAAGTTCTAAGCAAAATTTACCAAACAAAAGTCGAGACTGAAGTCTATACACGTCGATTCGCGCACCCATTATAGATGACTAAACATCTGAAAACTACGCCATTTAAATGTCGAAGGTTACGTAGCATCATGTTAATAATATGATAATGCAGAGGTAAACCGTTAGCTGAATTTGCCTCGCAGATGGGAGCTAATGGGCTATGGAAACGATACACGATACGTCCGCGTACACCTGTGTGAGTCATGACCGGTGCAAGTTGAGAAACTGCCAAACGCGATTTTGCATAACTTTAAATCGCTGTAGGAAAAACGAAAAAAAAAAAATAAGTGGCATAAGTGATATACATCTTGGCTATCGTCGTATCGTAAGCTTGGCCTAACGTTTTTGCTGACGGATTTCAATCCTACATTTGTGTACCATTTGTACTATTAACACTTGTAAACTTATCATTTTATTATAGACTACTGTATTTACAATAAAAATGGTTAAAATTTGTATATAATTTAGGTATTATATTCGCATGTTCAATAATCCAGTTTAAAAAACTCCTATTTCAAATATTAAATAACAAGAAACCACTAAAGTTGGTTGCAAGGCTTTAAATAATATAGAATCCCTGGTAGTCCTTGCAAGACATCGATGGAATCTTCAATGTCGTGGAAACGTGACATGTTTCGCTAATTTGTTGAATAAATGAATTCAAATTTGTCTCGATCGTTGCCCGTAAGCCTTCATCACAGCCGCGGCGACTAGTCGATCACACACTTAAGATAACACAGGAGAAATTTAGCATCTTTCATATCTAATTTAAAATTCATATTACATGCTATAAAAGTAAATATTCCTAGCCATGTTTATATAACAGTCTTGATAGATAAGAAATGAAGTAAATGTCTAAACATCTTTGTAATATTATTTATGGCAAATAAATATTTGAATTGAATTGAAATATATAATAGAATAAACATCATAATTGCTTTAAAATTTGGGATAATATTGTACGAGGAAGTATTCAAACATTGTCACTGATAAAATAATGCACTGTTTAATGAAACACGGTCTCTACAAAATTAGTTCGTAATTACCTACACGTTACAATTAAATATTGATTAGATATTTATAAGATATAGATATATCGTTAATGGGGCGTGTTAAACCAGCGATTATGATAGGGGACTACTTCATACATAGTACTGTATGTAATTGCGTGCTCGGCTATAATAAATTTTGCACAAGAATTAACTTACACAGCTTATAGTGTTGTTACTCGACATTGGATATCGGTTACAATATCGTCTTGAACTCTTTATCTTGTTCTACGACCCTGCTCTTTGTTAAGTCTTGTCAACTAAGAATATTTCAAAAACTTAAATAGCATTCTATAATAGGTCAGTTCATTTGAATGGAATATGAATATATGAATTTTTTTGTAGAAAAAATATCGAAATATTTCTTACGGTGGTGCAGGATTCAAACCTGTGTATGTTCGCTACATATCTTAACGCAGACCCCACGGCACCAAAAGATTTTTTAGAAACTTTTTCCATTTTTCAATTGATTTTTCATCTTGAGTGCAGAAGAATGCATCTCAAAATAAAATTGATCCTAAATTCCAAGATACACCTCGTTCAAATATTGTTATTAAAATGTTATTACAAAGTTTACAAGTAACACAGCGCCAAGTACTGTTAAAGAAAGTAAAAATAGAAGAAAGTAGACAGGAGTTGAGAGAAGAAACAAAAAGGAAGTGCTTTTTAAACATCCGTCATTAGCAGTAAAAAAGGAGACTTGCATGTACTTCAATATGGGAAAAGGATTTTTTAAAAACATACTAACTTGTTAAATGTTAGTTCGATATCGAGTAACTCGCAACACTAAACCATCGAGCGCAAGCCGCAGGAAATTGGAGACGCGACCCGCGAAAGTAACAGCCCTCCAAACGGGTAATGGATAAACTCGGGACGAACATAATTACAAGCAGTAATCGTGGCTTAACCGCGCGGAAAATGATCCATTTCTCCGATCGAGAATTTCTGTTTCAAAATAGGAATCAATTTAAATAGATTTTGAGCTACATTTTTTAACTTAATCACGATTTAAAAACTTCATATGACCTATTATTAATTTTATAATTTTAATCATAGTTTTTCCTTTATAGTTTATTTATGTTTATGTTTTATGTTTACCCTAGAACTTCATTACGCCCACTTTAAATGTACTAAGGAACCCTAAAAAGGACGGTGAACCACCAAAATCGAATACCATATCACCGACCAGTATTATACACTATATGGCGTTTTTTCGCTGGCTGGACGCATTCAACGGAAATGTAAACAAATATCTCCGCTATAAATTACTTAGTGCCAATACTAAGCAAAAACAAGTTGTTGGGGACTCTAAGGCGATTAATTTAACCAAAAACATAAAACAGCTAATGGGCACATTATAATTAATATCAGTAGTAAACAACTAAATTGCTAAAGCATATTATCATTTAAATATAAATGTATATATTTATTAATATAAAAGTATATTTGTTATTAAACGTAATGGCAGATCGCATCCGATTCTTGCAAATTTGACGGTTGCCATACAATAAGTTGTTTGCTCATGTTACATCAAAAAAAATTATAATACATTGTTTTGATATTTAATGTGTGGATTCTGTAAAGCCTAACGATCAGCTATATGGCTAATTAACGCTCTATTAAATTCGGGGAAAACTTGGTAGCGTTAGTATGTCCCAAGTTCCGTGGTCAGGCCCTCCCTGCTCAACGT